CAGGTTGCACTGACAATTTACTTGCTGCAACTACCACCACCACGAAACGGTCAACCCCATGTACTGCTAACACTGCTGTTGCTGCTAATACATCCTTACTCGCTCCTGTTAATGTGGACAATATTTCTTCTTCTGATTTGCCACCTGTTTCACAACAAATGCCGACTGGTGGTACTAGTGCTGAATCTGGTGATGTCGTTGCTGTTACCGCTACGGGCGCGGTAGTACCTATTCCTCTTTCTCCCACCCGCAGCCCTGTTTGGCTTACAGCTGAGAGTAAAAGAAAAAAGCACATCCAAAAGCGAACTCGTGTGGTGGGGTCAAATGATTGTAGTGATCTTGGTGTTGCTGCCCGCATTTAACAGCTTTAACAGTCTCCTGTGACAATATTGTGGATTATGTGGTGAGACACGCTGGCATTGATAAGCGGCAAATATCTTGCTACAAGTTAGTCTGGATTCTCTATCGTATGTCAATTTTAAGCTTGGCGTTAGNTAATTTTGTCTTTGCATTCTACCAACAATAATTTGAATGCAAGTAATTTAAATGCTGTTAATGTGGGTTTGCTGGCTGCAGAGTTTGGTGCTAGTGCTTCGTACAACAACAATAATTACTGTTCAACGCCTGGTGTTGTTGAGGCTCCCGCTGTCCCTCATTTGTTTGGTCCGCCAAGAGACTTTTCTGAGAGCACATCGACTCAGAGTGTTAATGCCATCTCTCCCGCTCGCAATGTGGATTCTGGCGGGACCGCTAGTTCGAGTGGCTCTAAAACTGTACGTCAAACTGGCGCCCCCATAAACACAAATACAGTCGCAGGTTGCACTGACAATTTACTTGCTGCAACTACCACCACCACGAAACGGTCAACCCCATGTACTGCTAACACTGCTGTTGCTGCTAATACATCCTTACTCGCTCCTGTTAATGTGGACAATATTTCTTCTTCTGATTTGCCACCTGTTTCACAACAAATGCCGACTGGTGGTACTAGTGCTGAATCTGGTGATGTCGTTGCTGTTAGCGCTACGGGCGCGGTAGTACCTATTCCTCTTTCTCCCACCCGCAGCCCTGTTTGGCTTACAGCTGAGAGTAAAAGAAAAAAGCACATCCAAAAGCGNTCTTTCTCCCACCCGCAGCTCTGTTTGGCTTACAGCTGAGAGTAAAAGAAAAAAGCACATCCAAAAGCGAACTCGTGTGGTGGGGTCAAATGATTGTAGTGATCTTGGTGTTGCTGCCCGCATTTAACAGCTTTAACAGTCTCCTGTGACAATATTGTGGATTATGTGGTGAGACACGCTGGCATTGATAAGCGGCAAATATCTTGCTACAAGTTAGTCTGGATTCTCTATCGTATGTAAATTTTAAGCTTGGCGTTAGCGAGGTCGATTGCGAAAATCTAATGAGACCAGAGATGTGGCCAGCCAATGTTTCGGTTCGGCCGTTCCGTTTTTTTTCACAGAGTGTCAAAACAAACTCATCCGAATTAGTTTATATGTGCTCTTTGGATGCGCCTGATCCCGTCGTACTGGATACTTATAAGTCTAGTTGTAATGCATATTTAAATGGTAATAGACAGAAATTTAATTATAGCTCTTTGAAGGTTTATTTTCAGAATATTTCTGGCCTTCGAACTAAATCAGAAGCGGTTCGCTCTTTTAGCTCGCAAATGGATTTCGATATTTTTGTTATTGTCGAGTCATGGCTAAATTCGGATTTCTTTGATGAGGAATTTTTTGATTCTAACATTTATAATGTCTTTAGGAAGGACAGAGATGCAACTAAGACTGGTTGTCTGAGAGGCGGCGGTGTTCTTATTGCGATTCAGCGTAAATTTCAACCGTTCTCTGTCTCACTTGAAAATGATGATTCCCTTTTGGATCTTCTTTGTGTTCGCATCAGTGCCTCATCTCATCATGACTCTCTGTACTTGATTGTTTCTTATATCCCGCCTAATAGTAATTATAATCTTTATCATGCGCATGCTGACAATATAATGTCTTTAGTTTCAAATTAGCTAGGAGATGACCATCTTTGTGTGTTAGGCGATTTTAATCTTTGTAATGTATCTTGGTCCACATCTTTTTCCAATGCTGGGCTCTCGCCAATTAATGTCAATGCGTCCCATGAAGTGTACTTTATAGATAGCCTCTTAAGCCTTAAATTACTACAAATTAATAATTTTGTTAACAAGTTGGATAGAATTCTTGACCTCATATTTATTAGTGATAACATTAAGTGTAACATTGAAGTTTGCCACAATCCGATCACTCCATCTAATATGCATCATGTTCCGCTGTTACTTAAATTTGAATTTTATGTATTCCCGTCTTTCATTGCTGATGACAAACTAGGGATGGGTAAATTCGATATACGAAGCTTCGAGATTCGAATTTTAATCGGATTTCAGCTCCAAAATGGCGAATTTTTGAAATCGAACTTTGTGGTGCTAAAATTCGGATAAAGTCGATTTTTTCTAGAAAAAATGTAATTACGCTTTAAAAAGCGAAATCAGACGTTGTCATTAAATGTACGTCATTTTTATTCGCTGTATAAGCATTAACATACGTATAATTGCATAAGTATGGAACATGAAATATGTGGAAATTTCTTTTGTCTCTGTAAAGCAAGAAAAATAAATAAAATCACTTTTCAATAGTGTTATTGAGCTTTGTACTACGGTCGTTTATTAGGAAATCAAGTTATACGTCCCAAAAAATTTGTTTCAAAATGCTGCATTTGCAAAATTTTTGGATTTATTTGTTATTTTTTTATTTGAGATATTTTTTGAAAAAAACTATTCTTATTTATTTTTGGTTGTGATGCCCAGAAAAGCGATATGGATAGTTCATCACATTAATATAAGTTCAACTGAATCTCTTTTTCGATTTGTGTTATCATTCTTACAAACAAACTTAAATTTTCAGGAAATTTTTTTTTTGAAATTCGAAAAAGTTCGAATAAAATCGAATTTGCACTCCCAAATTTCGAATCGAATAATCGAATGGTTGGGCAATGTTCGAAATTCGAAAAAAATCGAGTTTCACCCCGCCACTACCCCTCCCTATGACAAACCTATGTTTACTGGGTGATTTAAATTGGGATAACTTAGGCACGGTGCACATTAGAGCGATACGATACGCGATGCGATATGCGATGCGATATAAAATGCACGCAGTGCACACTAGAGCGATGCGACACGCGATACCATTTGCAGTATGATAGCTACACAAACGCCTTTCAGTTAATACCATGAGTTCATCCGATGAAGACATTGCTATAGCATATTGGTGGCTNTAAATTTTTTTTTTGAAATTCGAAAAAGTTCGAATAAAATCGAATTTGCACTACCAAATTTCGAANGAAATTTTTTTTTTGAAATTCGAAAAAGTTCGAACAAAATCGAATTTGCACTACCAAATTTCGAATCGAATAATCGAATGGTTGGGCCATGTTCGAAATTCGGAAAAAATCGAGTTTCAACCCGCCACTACCCCTCCCTATGACAAACCTATGTTTACTGGGTGATTTAAATTGGGATAACTTAGGCACGGTGCACATTAGAGCGATACGATACGCGATGCGATATGCGATGCGATATAAAATGCACGCAGTGCACACTAGAGCGATGCGACACGCGATACCATTTGCAGTATGATAGCTACACAAACGCCTTTCAGTTAATACCATGAGTTCATCCGATGAAGACATTGCTATAGCATATTGGTGGCTACAGCAAAGAAAAAAAATAGCTAATAATAGGAAAACGTACTGGGTGCACCCGTTTAATGTGAGGAACATAAAGCACTGTTCGGGAATTATTGCTTATGGTGTTATTGCATGCACCCACCCATCGTAGAATTATGCCAGGTGAAGTAATATTAGAGTGAGAAGAGAGATTTTGACGCTGCCTTATTTAAAAAATTTCCTTTAAAATTTGACTATTAGGCAGCCGAATGTCAGAAAATAAAGCGAGAAAGCTGTTTTGTTACTTCACCAGTTTATTGCGCCATGGTTCCATGCAAACATTTTAAGCGTTTCCAGCTTAAAAAGCATGCAGATAAAATTCATACAAAAGCGTTATGTTCAATTAGCCGAGCAGTTATTTAAGACGACGTATTCCCTATATTTTGTTAGACTTAAATTATAGTAAAAATATTTTGTGAGTTATATCACATTTTTTGTTTAATTGTATTTTTTGGGAATAAACAAAGTTATTTTTCCATCAGTCATTAAACTGTCTTTGTTACAAATAGTATAAATAGGCAATGGGAAATAAGGCAAAATTTGTTTTATTTCCAACCTTTGTTGGAAATGAAGAAAAACTCGGATTTTGTTATTAATTCCCATTTAAAAGTGAAATAAAGCAAATTTTGCGTTATTGACGTTTGNAAAAACTCGGTTTTTGTTATTAATTCCCATTTAAAAGTGAAATAAAGCAAATTTTGCGTTATTGACGTTTGTGTTATTTCACCTACCTGAAAAGTACCAGGTATTTTTACTCCATTATTTTTTGTAGCATTGTGTATTAGAGTCATATATGTAATACTCCTATATTGGCAGTAAGAGCTAGTACCGTCCGAAAACACTACAGTACAGATATATTGTTTTTAGAGGGAGGCAGGCGAATACGATTATTTCAAAAGTGACATAAAAAAGTCATGAGCGTTTCAATGAAAAAATTTCTACTAAAAGCCGTTCATAATTGTAATTGAATTTTCTATTTAATTTTACAATTTTACGCGAGGATTTACATATACTTACATATGCAATAAAAAAATTTCGAGAATATGTTGCGTGTGCTATCAAAGAAGGAGAATAAACTTAATATTACACAGGTGAGTATACATTACAATTCCATTTGAAATTTAATAAACCATATCTACAATTAGATTTCCAAAAGATACGCTTTCGGAGCAGCGATGGAGAGAAGTGTGTAATCTGCGTAGATACAAACAATTTGCAAGTTTGCTAGAATCATTTCAAAAAGAATGATTACAAGCCATCAAGAGGCATTTGCAAATATTTATGGCCGCATGCAGTTCCTGAAATGGAAAAACAGTCAACTCAGAACAATCAGTTGCCAGCGAATGTCCCACCGATAAGACAAAACGAAGTTCCACCAAAACGTAAGTTAGACGAGCAAGAGCTTGATACTGGCACTATTATTACGTTAAAATATATGTACATATATGTTCTTGTTCAATTCATAATAGAGCCGAACGAATGTCCTTGCGCCACAAAAAAGCCACGGTATGCAGAGCCGCGTTATATTTCGGAAATCAGTACCCCACATCTAGCAACGTCAAGACATGCCAGTCGAATACTTAAATTTGTAAAGAACTCATTTAATAAGAAAACAAAGCTAATAAAAGCTTTTCAAGATAAGGCGCGATATCTACGCAAGCGTGTGACAAAATTTGAGGAATTAATGCTACACTTACCCCAAAAAGACTTGGTTAACGCCGATGCGGCTGAAATGATGGTAAATTAACAATATAAATTTCTAACGGTACTATTTTCGTTGATTAGCTGAGAAGTGAAATTTATCATATACTATAGGGGTATTCTCTGAGTCTTGCAAAGCCCTTGCACGGCGCACGTTTGCAAAGCTGTCCCATACCAAAACCGGTTTTCACCGTGCAATCCGTGCAATCTGTGCACCATGCAAGGGCTTTGCAAGACTCAGAGAATACCCCTTATGTGCATATGTACGTGCACTGTACATTCTTGTACATTTTTTTTTTTTTGAATTTGGAGATAACACTTAACTTTTTATAGGAGCTCATCCCGGAAAATATCAAGAAAATGATATCTCGCAAGTTAACTGGTTCAAAATTTTATGTAAATGAAATAAGTTTTGCCTTAACCCTACATTTTTACTCTCCAAAGCTTACAAATATGTACGACAGACATGGAAAAACTTGTTGCCAAATGTTTCTACTATAAGGAAGTGGTACCAGAAAATTGATGGCAGTCCCGGTTTTACACAGCAAACCCTTGATGCTATTGATCTCCGATCAAATGTTTAAAAAAAGTCATAGTAAATTTAGTTAGCAACACGAGAACAAAAAATTTATGATCGTCATAGTTTTCAAGGTGTAGTAGACTTAGGAACATTCAATTTTAATATCGAAAGTGATAGATCTCAAATTGCAAATAGCGCTTTAGTTTTGATGGCAGTCTCTTTGAACGACCACTGGAAAATACCGATAGGATATTTTTTAATAATATCTCTAAGAGCAGAAGAACGTGCCAGCATTATAACTGAAGCACTTCATGCTCTAAAGAACTGTGGCGCTATTGTTTATTAATAACTTTCGATGGTGCGGCCACAAATATAGCAATGTGCAAGTGTTTAGGTGCAAATTTAATGTATGGCCCAAGCTTCAAACAATTTTTCACAAATCCCGCTACAAACGACCACTGTTATATTTTTTACGACTTTTGTCATATGATTAAACTGGTTAGAAACTGCCTATGCGATAAACAAATATTAAAGTCAAGGGACGACCAAATTATTAACTGGAAATATTTTCAATTGTTGCACGAAATTCAAGTGAAAGAAGGACTTCGTACAGCAAACAAAATTACTAAAAGTCATGTGTATTTTAAAAATAGCATAATGAGTGTAAAATTGGCAATGCAATTACTAAGCAAAAGTGTGTCAGAATCGTTAGTATTTTTGGAAAAGGTAATACCGGACGGACAAATTAAAAGTAAATTTAAAGATAGTGCGGCAACTGCCGAATTTTGCTTGTTTTTTAATAACTTGGGTGATATTCTGAATTCCAAAAACAGATTTTCAAAATACGAGTTTAGAGCTCCTTTGACGAACAATACTTATGACCGGCTGAAATGTCACGCTCAAAGTTTTGAACAATATATTGCAGGTCTAAGGGACTTAAATAATATACCAATTTTGGAAACGGGTAGGAAAACCGGATTTATTGGCATGATAATTTGCATTCGCAACATATTCCCTTTATATAATAAATTAAAACAATGTGGGTTGTCTTACCTTTTAAGTTATAAGCTTTCTCAGGATTTTCTTGAAACATTTTTTAGTGCTATTCGAGCAAGAGGTGGATTCAATAATAATCCTAATGCCATACAATTCAAAAGTGCATACAGACGCCTTTTGGTTAGACATGAATTGAAAGAGTTCCAATTGTACATTTGATGGAATACCAATACTTCAAGCGTCTTCCAGTTCAAAAAAGCAGGTTGAAGGTAAATACGACCTTCAGCATACATGCAATTACATTAATGGGTTGTGGGGACTGTCTGTTTTCGTCGATAATGTCGTTCGCTACATAGCGGGATTTGTCGTTTGGAAAGTTAGATCAAGTATTAATTGCAATATTTGTAAGGAACAATTGCTAGGAGAAGAAATGCCAACATTATTAAAAATAAAAAATAAGGGTTCTTATCTGACACCATCAAAGGATGTGTGCGATATATGCTTAATATGTGAGAGTGTTATCAGACAGCAAGCAGCGAACATGTATCGTAAAAATATAAAGAAATTTCTTGTGGCTATAGTTTTTCGCAGTTTAAAACATCCGTTCGTAAATAAATTAATGAATGATCATGTACAAATAGAAAACTTTTTCTGTAACGATGTACTCAACGACCATCGGATTACTCTTTGCAAATCTATTATTTCTTTCTACATCGATTCACGACTATTTTACGAAAGTACTAAACAAACTGAAGGAAAAGCATATATTCGAAAAAAATTTACAAAGCTTATATTATTTGCAAATCAATAAGGCAATATTTATGTTACGCAGACGCTATTTATAGAATACGCATATTTGTTACATAGTCACTTTAGATATAACTGCTACAATTGTATTATTTGTTTAAAATTTTGTTGATCCAAAAAATGAATTTTAAAAATAAATGTGTTATGTGCATATATGTATGTATGTACATTTATAATAAATCGTTATGCTGGCAAAAATTGTTTTTTTTACATATTTTATCGATCATTTATTAGAGCCTAAATCATAGTTTGGAATCATGGTGGCGTTCTGTCGTCAGGTAACACCGTATAAAAAGTAAAAAATTCGGGCAATTAACAAAATGACGAAAGACAGTTACATACTGGACCATTAGAAATAATATTTATTTTTCTATTCACAAAGTTGTTTAACTTTTTTTAAACTACACCTTGGCCGTTTTTAAATTACTATAAATTAAATCCGCCACTGGAGTGATTTGACAGTTGTTCGAATTTTTTTCGTTCATAAATATACACGTATACAATACATATACAAAAATGGTACTAGACTGTATCGTTCTGATTTCGGAATTTTTACACATTGAGAGGATAGCTTACTGCCAATATAGAAGTATTACATATATGATTAGAGTACACAAATTTGTAGTTTCTTTTTTAATTTAAAAACTCATTAAATATAATAAAATAGCACTCAAAAAAAAAACATATAAAAATATAACGAATAATCAAAAATAATACATACAGCATTTTTTAGTATTTGTTATTATTTCTGATTTCTTCTTTTATGGTAAATGAGATGATTTCTTAATTGTTTCTAATTACATTGATTACTAATTATTTAAATATTTGAAACAAAATTGTTAATCATTAACATTAAAACAAACACCAAATCTTTTTTGCTATTCAAAATCAAATATAAATAGGTTTAAAATTATTGGTTTGTTTTAATTTCTTTTTAAAGATGGGAAAACAAAGGCAAATAAACCATGACAAAAAATATTCTATTGCGTATTTACCTGTATTCTTGCCCTCAGACGCTAAAATTCTCCATGCCATGTTTGTTCTACAGTAGTTTTTTTCTGTATAGTTCCATAAGCATGGGGTTTTTTTTAATTAATTCGACTAAAAAAATGTGAAACGGCCATGCTTATTGCAAAAAATACCGCGCAATACTAATCTCACCTCGTTCAGCAAACCGTGTCGCACATGCGATACGGATGCAATATTCTATCGTAGCGGTGTCGCACGTGCGAATCGTATGCGATATTATATCGCAGCGGTGTCGCTGTCGTGATAGTGTGCACAGTTTTCATCGCTTCCTACCAATTTCCACGTACTCAGCATGTCGATGTCGCATCCATATCGTATCGCGCTAATGTGCACCGTGCCTTACTCTCCTGCCCCGATGTTACTAAATGCTTTACTACTTTCAAAACTGTAATTACTGANCTTAATTGTTTCTAAATTGTTTCTGACTTGAAAAAATTGAAGAATCTTAGAAACAAATTTTATAATAAGTTTANGCTAATGTGCACCGTGCCTTACTCTCCTGCCCCGATGTTACTAAATGCTTTACTACTTTCAAAACTGTAATTACTGATTTTTGTGCTAAATTCATTCCAATAATTAGAAAAAGACGGTATAAATTACCGTGGTATAATCGTGACTTGAAAAAATTGAAGAATCTTAGAAACAAATTTTATAATAAGTTTAAGGCATCTGGAAGTCAGTTTTTCTTTGAAAAATATCAGATGCATCTTAAAAAATTTAACTGCTTGAATGAATTCCTTTATAGAAATAATATCTTAGGCATTGAATCCAATATCAAAGCAGATCCGAAGTCGTTCTGGCTTTTTATTAAGTCAAAAAAGAACAACTCTGGTATTCTCTCAGCTGTATTTTTTGAAGACCTCCACCCCAGCTGAAGTTGCTAATCTATTTGCTGCATTTTTTAGTTCTAATTTTGTAGACCATAACCTTACTGTGGATTCTAGTTTTTCTGCTAGTGTGAGTTCTACTAATTTTGGCTCCCTTTCGTCTGACGATATTGCTAATGGCATTTTAAATCTGTAAGCGGCTGCAAAAGTAGATATTGATGGGCTCTCTTCAAACTTTATAAAGAAGTGCCCTGCTCTGATTTTTCCTTTAAAAATTATTTTCAATAGGTCTCTAGCCTCTGGTATTTTTTTTTGATGAATCGAAATTGACTTCCATTACCCCTATTCTCAAAAGTGGTAACAAAAGTGGTGTCTGTAATTACAGACCCATTTCGAAACATTCAACAATTTCTAAACTTTTTGAAGCCATCGTCAAGGAGAAAATGCATTTCGCAGCAAAAAGTCTAGTCTCACCCAATCAACATGGTTTCGTCCCCAACCGATCTACGGTTACTAATCTCGGCGTCTTTAGTGAGTATTGTATTGCAGCTCTCTCGGACGGTTTCCAAGTCGACTGCATTTACACTGATCTTGCTAAAGCATTTGATAGAGTTTCACATAGGTTGTTGGTCAGTAAACTAGCCTCTTTGGGTTTTCACTCAGCATTTTTGGAATGGCTCAAATCTTATTTGTCGAATAGGCGCTGCGTGGTCTCTGTTAATGGTTGCTCTGCGGATTTTTTCATTGCCTCTTCGGGGGTTCCTCAAGGAAGCATCTTAGGTCCTTTGATATTTGTATTATTTATTAATGATGTGAGTTCTTGTTTTTCATTTGCGAAATTTTTACTGTATGCTGACGATTTGCAGTGATTAAAAATTCGTATGATGCGCTTAGACTTCAGTCTGAGATCAATAATTTACACAGTTGGTGTCTCAGCTCTCGCCTTTCTCTAAATATTACAAAAGGCTTTCAAGTTACTTTTTCCAAAAGTAGCAGTATTGTCTCGACGTCTTATCCTATCTCTCAAAATCAACTTCAAAAAGTTCAAGAAATCAAAGACCTTGGTGTTATTTTCAGCTCTAGTTTCTCTTTTAATAGTCATATCAGCCACATCATTTCTAAATCTTACGCTGTTCTTGGTTTTGTCAGGCGTCAGAGTTCAATGTTCTCTGACCCCTATACACTTAAATTGTTATTCACATCTTTTTTTCGTCCTAAATTAGAATATGCTTCTTTTTTCTGGAGGCCATACCATGCAAGCTTAATAATTAGGATTGAAAGGGTTCAAAAGGTTTTTCTTAAATTTGCTCTAAGAAATCTAAAATTCACCGAGCCTTTTCCAACGTATAATTCCCGTTTGCTCTTAATAGACCTTAAATCTCTGGAAGCCAGAAGATCTTTGCTCTCTCAAACTTTTATTTTTAATTTAATAAATGGTGTGATCGATTGCCCTACTCTCCTTGAGCAGGTCAACTTCAATGTTCCTCAAAGGATTCTTCGCAATCCTATGCCTTTTTATGGAGGCAATTGTAAAACGGAGTATGCCAGAAATGCTCCTATTTCAAGAGCTTTAATGAATTCAACACAATCTCGAATTCTACCGAACTTGATTTTTCCCTACCAAAAAGTGTATTTATTTTCTCTGTGACCTCGAAACTGTAGAGTGCTTTTTGTTTTACACGTATCGTTTAAGAAACTAATTTCTGTATCTAGTCTGTAAGGAACGTCTGTTTCATATGACTGAAATAAAAATTACAAATTACAAATTACAAAGTACATGTTCAATATTTATCGCGTCAATATTTACATATTTTTGTGTTGAGAGTTTTAAAGTCCAATAGATGAAGCCTGGAAATCTTATCTAAATTTAATGTTATTTTATTGAAAATCATCTATACTTTTTATTATATGTATGGTGATACCACATCTAATTTGTTCGAAAAGCAACGCGAACGCTCTCGTTCAATACTTATTGACAGATCTTTGAGCCATATATAGGGGAAATGAAAAAGGGTGGTTTGAACTAGGGATGTTGCGAATGTGGAATTTTAGACATCAGCGAATGCGAATGCGGACGTCTAACAGCTAACATCCGCGGATGCGGATGCGAATGCGGATGACTAGTATTTTTAAGAATTTAAGTAAGTAAATTAAGTTATTTACGTAAATAAAAAAATGGAAAAGTTAGTAAATTTTAATAATGTTTATTTTATTTAGTACTTGAATTTAAAAATTGGAACTTTATATTAAATAAAAAGTAATGAGAATTGCATCGGGGCTAAAAATTTCGGATGTATCCTCCTTTCATCTTCACTTGAAGAATCTAGCATAATGGCGAGATCGTTGTTTAGACAGCGCTTACAAGCCAAACCAGATGTGTAAGGTTTTTCTGAAGCTTTTTAAAAAGAATTCTTCATTCTCATTCCTTTGAATGTTTCAGCATTTGGGGAACCTGTAATGTCATCAGCGTTTATTGATTTAAGTTTTTGTAATTCATTTTTAATACATTATTCTGCGACTGGTTTGAAAAATTTGTGTTTATAGCGAGCTTAATATGTATGTACTAGGGATGTTGCGAGTGTGGAATTTTAGACATCCGCGGATGCGAATGCGGATCCGGATGTTTAAAAGCTAACATCCGCGGATGCGAATGCGAATTTAGGTGAGTACATTAGGTTATTTAGGTAAATAAAAAATGGAAAAGTTAGTAATTTTTAATAATGTTTTTTTTTTTTATTTAGTACTTGAATTTAAAAATTGGAACATTGTATTTAATAAAGAGTCATTTTGCTGCCTTTTCGGATTACAGCCTTTCTTAAAGGGATGTAAATCAAACCTGCACCACTAAATAACTACTCGCTTGAGGCGACAGATTTGAAAAACTTGAAACTTGACAAAATTGTAAATTATTTTCGATTGACGCTGCATCAGATGAGAGGACTTTCAATATTTGTTTTCCTTTTTTTTGCGGTGCAATAATTCCTTTTTGAGAACTGCACCGGGTTGCTTTTCCTCCTGACTTTCATCTTCACAATCTAGCATCATGGCAAGAACGTTGTTTAAACACCGTTGTTTTCCAATTTGGAGAACCAATTCTTTTGGTTGTTTCAGAATTTGGAAAACCTGTTATGTCATCAGCGTTTTTCGATTTTAGTTTTTTTTTTTTTAATTCGTTTGTAATCCTGTCTTCTGCGACTGGTTTGAAAAATGTGTGCTTGTAGCGAGGTTCTAAATGGTGGATATGGCATTATTTTCTAGGAATAAAAATTTCGAAGAAAATTCTGTTTTAAAAGTCGTGGTTGCCAGCAGGATTAGTTTAAAATCTTGTTATTTCGTTAAAGAGGCACCCCGTTTTTTATATTAATTTGAATTGTTAGAGTCACGGACGATGAAGGTCTCAGATCTGCTTAGTTCCCGAGTGACTTATTGGAAAGGTTCACCTGTAATGAATAGCTTGTAATTAGTGTTTTTATTAGCTGAGCTCGACTTTTCCTAGTTGCAGGCAGTCACAATTAATTACTCACCGCTGTCGGTACCATAAGCCATCAAATCCGTTTTATTGTTCCATTCCAAGCGCTCAATGTGCTTTGATATTTTGAGGCGAATGAACGAAAATTTTGAACATATCGTTAATATAGTATGGAAAGGCCGTATTTCACATTGTCGCTGAAATGCAAAAAAGCCACAACTAACTAAATTTTTTATTGCATAAAACGATGTAGGGACTGTGATTCGATGAAATGCATCATAATTAATCAA